ATTAAGATAATCATTCAAACGCAAGCAAATTCTTACATGCAAACAAAGCTTTAACAAACATGAAAGATTACAAAAAGCATAAATGAGTCAATAATCTGGGAAGGATCTTCACCCGAACTTGTGCTGAAGGAAACCTCTCCTAAACTTCAAGGCAAAAATTAATAGAGATTCACTCATGTTTTAGCAAAGGGGTTGACTCAAATGTTAGGTCCTCCGTCTTTAAATGACAAAATACCACTTTTGACCAGTTTATGTATTTTAGCCTTCAAAGCGAGACAATGATCAAGATCATGTCCAGGAGCACCTTGATGAAAAGCACAAAAGGCACATTTCTTATACCCCCGTAGAAGATCTTCCAAAACATTCAGTGGTGACCGAGTATGAATCAAATTCTTCTGTAATAAGAAAGGAAATAACTCTGAATGCAACATTGGAATCAGGTCAAAACGAGGTTTCTTCTGATTATGAAGCTGCTGATTGGGATCTGTGGGAGTTGTATTCACCACAGGGGTGATAGAAAAACATGTTATTGTTGGTGATTATAATCTTCCCTTCTCCGGGGTTTCCTTGGTTCTCGTTGTGGTTGCAGATGATTTATAGGAGTTGGGTTAACTAATGGCATAACAGAAGCAACTTGTAGATACTGATAACTCCTTTTATATGGGCTCCCTTTGTATTTATTGTGAAGTATAAATGGAGTCTTGATCTCTTTTCTTGGTGAAGCTATCACCATACTTCATCACATTATCGGCCAAGTTACTATTCTTAGACAAATGTTCCTCTCAGACATCTTTTTTTTAGAAACGCTTCCACATTTACCTCTTCAGAGAAATCATTACGTGTATTGATGACCACCTTCTCATGAAAGAAGGACTTAAGAGTGTTTATGAAGACCTTTACCATATCTTCTTCCCTTATAGGAGGATTGATTTAGGTGACGACTAAAGTTTCAACCAAACTAGTTAGATGCTCCATACCAGATTTCAAAGTAATCATCTCCTTACAGAGTTCAGAAATCTCTTGCTTGATATTTTCCATCATTCTCTTAGCGCGAGTATTGTACTATGGGACCAAATGGAAAATAAGACTTGGGAATGACTTTCGAAAGTGAAACAAAAATGTAGAATGATGCATGATATATGCAAATGGAAAGTTCAATTCATTTTTAAGGACCTCAAACTTTGATTCAAGCTTCAAGCGAGAAATAATTAACAACAAAATGTGACAAATGAGTTTAGTACAAAGTTAAGAGCCTAAATGCTACAAAATACAAAGACAAGAGATCCCAATCAATAAACCTGATGGTGATCATCAAAAATACAAATCATAAACCCTAAGATATTTCCCCAAACTCTACACCAGCAAGGGTACCCCTAACTAGATTCTCATTACTCCACTCATGGGCCTTTTTTATTTATTTTTAAAAGAGCTCCTTCGTTGCTTCGCTCTTTGGTCTCTCAATTAGCTCCTTGATGATTACATCCCTTATATTGATAATGCTTTCTAGATGATCAATCTCTTCTTGAAGCCGAAGGCCGTAAAAATATTCTTCTTGTTCTTCATCTTTAGACTTCGTGACCTCAACTTGAACTGGCATCCAAACATTGAAACTGAAATCTTCTTCTTGATCTTCATCTTCAGACTTCGTGACCTCAACTTGAACTGGCTTCCAAACATTGTAACTGATGGTATTCCTCTTTCTAGTGTCCATTTATGAGTAATGAGCTTGATACGAGAGTCAAAGATAAAGTTCCCTATAAATGAAATGACCACGTATGTTACAAGCATGCCATGGTGTTTATGAATGCGTGAATGTATGGCTATGCAACAAACACATACAAGGTTCAAAGGTTTAGCATCACAAGCATGGAGTCAAAGGCTGAGAATCAACCCAGAAGGTATGTACTAAGGGTTTATCACCTATCGAACAAGGTTCTAAGAAAATCCTAGAGTCTACACTCTTCCCTCAGATATTACCAACGTCCCAATTACTCGGTAATTAGTAATATTCACAGGAAAAGCTCATCTGAGCGCAGCATCGCGTGACAACTACTTTCGGATTACTCTGTCATAGTCTCCACACTAGATCTAAAAAGGCCAAGGTGGGTTAAGGGTTCTACGCCTCTCAGCTTCTCTGTCTCCAAGGTCGAAAGCAACATGTCTTCCCAATTACTTGGTAAACAATTCTACATTCAAGGGGACTTCCACTGAGTGGGGGATTTCATGTCTCATTCTTCGGGATTACTCCCTCAAAGTTAACATGACTATACCGCTCTTCTTAATCTTAAGTGTAACTTAGTCTGGGTATAAGACTTGTTCTTTGTAATAAACACCCAAAGAAACCAAAAAATAACACATATAAGCACACAAGCAATAACAACGAAAACATATATAACAAATTAGGTTTAACCCACTTAGAGTATTTTTTTGTATCCCTAGTAGAGTCGCCAATTCTGTAGCGGTGAAAATCATAGATCAAGCTACTAATTAACTTTAATCGCAAATAAGCAAGATTCGCCACCGCGCGTTATTATTTCCAAGGGAAAAGTGTGAAATAAAACCCATAAATATGCAAAGTAAGTGCAATACTAAAAGTAAAGAAAAATACAAATGTATTTGAAAGAGATTGAAGGTTCGGGGGTTGGTTATACAAAGGGAAGGTATTAACACTCTATGTATCTATAGTATCCTATAGAAATCTTTTGAAATATCTGTTTTTTTGGATAAAATTGGTTTTCTTTCTAAATGTTTGGTTTGAAGAAATTTTGAAAATGCAACAACCTATTGTCGAGGTTTTGGCTTGAAAAAGTGTAAGTTTAAAAAAATTGATTTTTTAGGAGATTTAACTTAAAAATAAAAAAGATGTATGAAGGGGATTTCACACAATCGTATTAGATATATTCGATGACATGCAGTCAACGAATTAATATTTTTCCTTTGGAATGGTACAAACAAAAATATATAGACTAAATGATCGAAAAATAGAAATTAATTAGAATATCATTTTAAATAATTAAATAATTATCAACCAAAAAAATAGTAATTAAATAAAAGAAGCTAATATTTTTTTTTGGTATTTTTTATAGGAATAAGAAATTAGAAATGTAAACTAATATTTTTGTATCATTATTACTATTATATTTTATGAAATTTGTGAGATAAGGCTAAAAGAAGACTAAAAATTACAACAAAAAAAATACAAGAGGCAAGGATCGAACTAGGATCCTCTTGGTCATAACAGGTACACCTCACCACTAAACCATTGTTGTTTTTTGTCATAATTATGCTTCAACTAAGATAAGGGGATGAAAATTAATTAAGTTGGGCTTACAACTTAAGCCCAGAACCCGAATCCATCTTGGAGGGAGATGAAGGGTTTTCAAAACCCTAGAAACATGAAAGAGGCGCCGATGCATCTTATTGGGAATGGAAAAAGTCACAATTAGTTTTCTAATTCTTAATTAAGTTTCAATTAAACACAGTTAATGAAGGAACAAAAAAAACATCTCCTCTAATCAAACTCTCAACCTTATTTCCACATTCAGTCTTCTTTCTCTTATTTCTTGATCAAATAGAAAAACTTCTAGATCTAATTCTCTCTCTCTCTCTCTCCATGATTTTGTTTCTTCTGATAATAACAACAAACTTTTCAACCCTCTCCAAATAGATTTTCCTTACTCTCATCGAAACAATAACAACATCGTTTGTTCGCTTCTGTTTCGTGAATTAACAACAATAACAACATATGTCTCTTGCTCTCACGCGATGATAACGACAACATCGATAACTTAATTTCTTTTGGTCTCAGTTTCTGGTAATCTCCCTCAATCTCTATTCTCTTTGGTTCTTATTCAAAGTACAACAATAACAACAACAAATGCTTCTCAAATTTATACTATTGCAGATTCATAGAAACGACAAAACAAATAAAGCTACAACAAATATTAACAGTAATCAAGATTCGAAGTGTGAATTAGGGTTACCTACAGCAATGAGGCTTTGTCGGAAATTGTTGAGTATTAATGTAAAGAAACGAAAAATAGAAATCTAGAGAATATGCGGTCGAATCCAAGAAAAGAATTTCAGATGATATGATTTTAAAGTATGCTCAAAATTAATCTCTCTTCCTCTTCAGAAAGTGTTGGCATAGTTCTTGTGTGATAATTGTTGATGAAAGTTTGAATATGAAGGCCGGGTAATGTAAAGGTTTATGGAGGAGAATTGACTGTGACCGGGAGGTTCAATGTAGTATGTTTGAATGTGGAGTTTCAATGAAGAAGAAAGGTTTGAGAGGTGTATTTGAGAGTTTTATGCAGTGTCTTTTTTTTGTTTTAGCAAGAAGCTTGTTTTTTTAAAAGTATTTTTGTGTGTTTGACAGTAGTTTTGGTAGTATTTTGTCTGTGTGTGTGCTTTTTTCACCTTTACTTCTTTTCTGTGCAAATTTTGTTGTTGTTACGGAAAAAATGGAGAAGTCGAGGTTAAGTTTCTGATTTTGAGTGTTATTTTGTGTATCGCTGTTGGTTTTTTTGAATTGTTCAGAAGATTTGAATGGTTGTGCTGTGAGTGAAATTGCAGGTTATGAGGGTTGAAGGTTTGCAGAAGGTGATGTAGGGAGGTTTGAAGGGTGGTTTGAGCAGTTTTGTAGTGAAGGATAATTTTCTGGTTTATACGAAGAGAATTGGACAGGTTTAAGAGAAATGTTTTAGTGAGCTTTGGTGTGAATTCACGTAGAGTTTTTGTAATTTTATGGTTTCATTTGCTTAGAGGTTTAAGGAGGTTTATTTGAGGGTTTTTGTGTATTGACCAAGGTCTTTTTAGAGAGAAGATTAAGTAGAGTTTGGATGATGTCTGCAAGGTATGAAGGTTATTGCAGAGTTTTTTTAGTTGAGAGTTTTCTCCATGATTTGCTAGAGATTCTGAAGTTGAATTTATAGGTGAGTAAATGATAAAAATGGGGGGATGATGGTTGAGGTTTTGAACTGTTTTAACTAACTGTTTCAATGCTTTTTTGTTGCATCTTTTGTTTTTCCATTTTAATACAATCTTTGGCTGTTTGTGGACTGGTTTTGATGCAGGTTTGGGACAGCAATAACGCAGCAGTAGCTGCAGGTTTTTGGACTAGGGATGTATACAAGTTATGGGCAACAAGTTTAGGGGCAGCAACAAGGCTGTTTTTGGTAGCAGCAATGGAAAACAACAAGGGCCAAAACAGTAGAAGTTAGATGTAAGGTTTTGGAGTGTTTTGCTTGGTTTTATGCAGCAGGACAAACATTGGTACAAAGCTTAACAAGGCATGGTTAATGGAAAATTATGCATGAAGCACACAAGGAGGATGGTCTTGGAATTGTATAGAATTTAGGCTTAGAAACATGTAACTTTTTCTTGTAATTCCTTTTAAGTGTAAAAGGAAAACTTCATGGTATTGATGTAACTCTAAAGGCAATAATGTAAACAACTTGTATTCTTTGGATGAAGTCATGAATTAAAATGATGATGTATGGAACTTGCAAAAGTTTTGTGTCATTTGAACAAATATGGATTTTTAGAACTTGACGAGTCTTGCATTGATTCTTATAACATGGAAGCAAAAGTCTTGAATTATTTGATCTCGCGATCTTGAAATATTGGACTTGGAATGAAAAATGTTTTGAATGAATTTTGAATGATGAATGGACATCTTGTATTTGCTCCTAGTATTCCAAACAAATTACATGAATTGATCTTCTAAGTTGAGCAAACTTGCATCATAAGAAAATTGGTCCTTTTGAATATCTTGAACCAAAAGCAAATCCATATGAATGAATTGCGCGTCACACACTTGAATTGATTTGAAATCAAGGGAATCATTTGATTTAATCCTTAAACCTTCTTTTCTAAAACCCTAAATCACATCTTCACCTTATATTAATTTGCACTATAAACCAATAGTACTTGATTGGATTTAATAAATAGTGCTTAAGAACTTTGGTCAAAGATTCCACTTTAATCCAATAATCACCAACACTCAAACACAAGCGACAAACAATCAAGGAATCCCTGAACTCAACATCTTGTATATGGAACAATCTTAACATAAGAATCAATATCTTAAGAAAACAATCACGGGCATGAATTGAAATTAGAAGTTAGGAACATTCTAAATAAAAAAATGACCCATAATGTTTCGATAGATCCCATGGACTTCGAAGCATAATTTGACTCAGATTCCTGAAGAAAACTTGTAGATGACATCACATATGACAATGTGCAAAAAGAGTCGTCTCGAAATGTTGAAAATTGAGGAAGTTATGATCCTTGAAAGTCGGGTACAACTATTTTGAGATTAGGTCAAATTCGCAAAATGACCTCTAAAGTATTCGAACTTTTGATGATCCTCTGCACATAATCAGATCTTTATAGGTAAAGAGGAGTTGGAGATGACGTCAAGGAGAGTCGTACACAAAAGGAACCATTCAAAAATATTGAATAATGAAGAAGTTATGATCATTTGAACTTGATCTTGCAAAAGTTGACTTTTGGTCGAAGTGCTTTGAATCGACTTGCAAACTTGATCTTTCCTCGCATTCTCAAAAATATTGATGCACATATGAATTAGTGGTGATGAAATTTGGATCATGTTTTGATGAAATAGCCCCATTGAGAATTGGTGATTCACCATACTTGAACATTTGAGGGATCCAAAACCCTAATTGAGGCACGACACCTGACGCTCTTGATTTAGACCTGTCTCTGCACATGAAATCAAAGAAACACAAATATACACCTTTGTATGGGATTAGAAGTCAATGATTCATAAGATAAATGTTTCACCACAATTGATAATCTCTGCATAAGCAATGCTCGAAGGTGAGCAGATTAAGAAAAACCAAATGTATCACCCGACCTTGATGCTTTATGGAAATGCAATTGAAGGTGGGATCTTAGGTTAAAAATTTGGGTATGACACTAAGGATTCAAAGAAATTTGAAATATTTTCTCTGCTAATAAATACTCTTGAGGACATGCAGAAAGAACAACAGATGGTTAGAGCTAGGCTTGATTAACAAGATGAAGTCAACAACAACATTCAGAGCATGCTAATCAAACTCCTCGCTCAGAATATCTCAACCTCTTCTAATCCTTCGACATTTTAGGCTATTTTTTTAAATATTCCTTTAAAATCCTTTTGTTATGTTTTCTATCTTGTATTGTTTCTGTTTTATCAAATGAATTCCTTCTTACTTTAAAAATTGTCTCTCAACTTGTTTCTAGAATTAGAAAAGTGTGGTAATTATTTTTTCTCATAAATGATGTTTCTAATTTATTTTTGGAAAATATTTTTGATTATGAAAAAAAGGGGGAGAAAAATAGTGATAATTTTGATACATATCTAAATCTCTAAATCCCATCCATTCCTTACATTCTAACAAAATATATATGCAAGACTTTTTTGAGAATGTTGTCTCAAAAACACGTTGATAAACAAATGGATCAAGTTTAGATTGATTAGAATATTCTGATAAAGAAATTCTAATAATTCATTGGTTCTGATAAACCAAGATTAGTTATAGAAATTTCCATCATTTAGAAATTCTGAGAAATCAAGCTCTGATAAAGCTCATTTTATGATCAAGTCAGGCTCTGACAAGCTAACAATGCTCAGATATCCCGTAATCTCTAAATTGTTTTAAATATTAGACTCAGGGGATCTTGTTTATCTCAGGAGTAGTTTTTTCTAAACTTAATCTGATATTTTTTATGATATTACCTTGTAAAATTTGTTCCATCGAAATATATGGTTTTGTCATCATCAAAAAGGGGAAGATTGTTAGAATAAGATTTTGTTTTGCGTCTAATCTCTAGCTTTTATGATAACAATGCATATATTTTATATGTAACAATTTTGTATTCTAATAGGTTCTTTAAGTGTGCAGAAATAATATTCTATTTGATTCAAGATAAGTTAATTAGATTCATTGTTGGCACCATCAGAAAAACAATTGAATTCACTTCTCAAGAAACATCAGTAGTTCTAAAGAATGTTGAATATTCGCTAGAAGAGAATATATGTGTTTACTCCATATCAGAAACCTAAATGGGCTTCTCAGTTAAGTTTTTGCTTTCAGATCAGAAGTCAAGACGTGTTTCTAAGAAAATGATTTTTGTGTAAGCTTTTGCTTCAAGCTCAGAAATCAAAGATGTGTTTCATCAGATAAGCTTTTTCTTATAGCGAAGATATTAAGATTTGTTTGTTAGATAAGTTGTTGCTCTAATTTTGAAGACAAGGTTCTGATTCTGAAGAATCTAATAACTTTGGAAACATTACAATGAAATGTCTTCCGGAATATGTATAATTTCACATTAGAAATACTCCATCAGAAGACTAAATAACAAAGTCGTGATCTCTTATGCGCTATCTTCACTACTTCAGATCAGAAGTATCTCATTAAAAGAAAAGATCATAAACTTGCACAAGAAGAATATAGTACAGCAGTACAAGACATATTCCACTAAGGTGAAGAAATCTCTGTACGATCAAAGATTTGTTGTGTTCTTGTCTCCCACAATCACACGCTACAGTTGTAGGAGCTGGCAATTGAAAGTGATGTTTTGTACTATCCAACGGTCTACTTTCTCAACCTATATAAAGGGATGACTACTTCATTGAAATCAACGATTCAGTATCAAGAAATTTGAAAAAAAAAATTTATTGTGCGAAGAAATTCAAGAGAGAAAATCACAACATAAAGAGTTATGTTAACTTTTATTCTGTAAAAACACAAGAGTTGTTCTTCATTGTTGTACCCCAAAATTTACCCTCTCAGTTATCAAGAATTTTACCATAAGATCTCTATTGATTCAAGACTGCACAAGGTTTGGTCAGCTCAAGATACCTCCTCAAACACTGAAGACATAAGACTAGGGTTTGATTTTGCACAAGTATAATTAGACTTTTAATGTCCCGTATAGTTTACATGGATCATATTGGGCTCTCAAGCATCAGGTCGAAGATAGAACTTCTGAATCCTTGAAAGGAGGAAGAGGAAACTGTCGAAAGGGCAAAGTAGATTAAAAAAGGGTGTGTAGTTGCAGATAACCATGTCGAATTCAAAATCTGGTTCAGGCTGTTCGAACCACATGACTGATCAAAAGGAGTGGTTGGCAGATTTTGACAATTCGAAGAAGAGCAAGCTTACTTCGATCCCCAAGATTCGACTGGGAAATGGCTTCCTTCGAGCAACCTACTTCGACCCACAAGCTTCGATTGGGCAATGGTCTCCTTCGAGCAACCTGCTTCGATCCACAAGCTTCGACTGGGCATTGGCTTCCTTTAAGAAACCTGCTTCCATCCACCTCTAAACCCTTCGGCACACATAGTTTCGACACCTATGAATTACAATTTAACAAAAAAACTTGTTGATAATAGTTCATTGCAAGAAGAAGGTACTGGCAACATAGTCTTTCAAATGAGCAATGGAGGAAAAGTTATGATTAAAGATGTGCTCTATGTACCTGGAATAAAGTGCAACTTGCTAAGTTTTGGACAACTAGTCGAAAGAAGTTTCTCAGTTGTCATGAAAGATGGAGTTTTGAGATTGTTCGACACCAAGAACAATTTGGTCTTAAAATATCCGTTATCGAAAAACAGGACATTTAAGACAATGATCAATTCGACAGAAGTTCAATGTTTGAAAACTGTTCGACCACAAGGATAGTTGGTTGTGGCATTTGAAGTTTGGACATTTGAACTTTCGACCACTTAATCAACTAATTACTCAAGATATGGTTACTGGTATTCCAAGTCTTGAGATGTCTGAAAAAACTTTGTGAAATTTGTTTAGTAGGAAAGCAATCCAGAAATTCTTTCGTTTCGACTATGCCAATGAGATCATATTGCATACTCAAATTGGTACATTCAGATGAATGTGGTCCATTCTAAGAACAGACAATTGGTGGAAACAAATATTGTTTTATCTGTTGATGAGTTTGGTTGAAAGTTGTGGATCTATGTGATAAAAAAGAAAGGACGGAGTATTTGACATCAGTGGTACATTCAGATGAATGTGGTCCATTCGAAGAACATACAATTGGTGGAAACAAATATTGTTTTGTTTGTTGATAAGTTTGGTCGAAAGTTGTGGATCTATGTGATAAAAATGAAAGGATGGAGTATTCGACATCTTTAAGAGATTCAAGATGCTTGTTGAAAACCAGAGTAAGAAAAAGATCAAAGTTCTACAGA